CTCATTAAAAACACTGGATATTTCAATTGGCTCCAAAACTGTAAAACAGTTGTAAATCACAAAATTTGTGAACCAGCCAGTTCTCGCCTCTATAGGATGATCCTTTTGACAGCAGAATAGTACGCAATGGCCAACTCAATCCAGGGCACTGGAATTTGAAGACATTGCAGCCAATTCTTGGAGATCTTCCCCATCTACAAGAACAAACAATGGAGGCTGAAGTGGAATCCAGTGAAGTTTACCTTCCATGTACCAACTTATAGCATGGCAGGAGAGTCCCGCAGCCAAGTCGTGGTGCTTCATCATGAGATTGAGCAGTGGCCGCTCCATCACCTGCTCTTGGCTGGAGGTGCTAAGAAAAGAAGCATTCATATTTCCAGATTTACCTACCAATCCGTGGAAGGCAGAGAAAAATATAAATTGAGAAACAAAAACAGAAAATGCCAATCCGCGAAGAATTGGGCATCGAATTCTAACCTCCAGTGGAAAATATAAGTAGTCTGCATGAACAGAATCCAGGAGAGAGTACATCTGCCCACTGCCTCTCCCGTCGCTGAACGCATTCTTTCCAGCCCTAAAAAGCCACATAAAATTTTTCTCTGATTTAAGACGACATGACCTTCGACAATTAGATCTTGGCCGTTAGATCTCAGCATATACCCAGAATAAGTGTCCCCAGTATATGCTATTATTATACCGGCTCTTTTGTTTAAATATATGAGTACTAGCAGAGACCCCAGCTCCGCTGGGAGATATAGCATACCCAAGATCTTCTTTTCTAATTCTACAATGTTAAAAATTTTGATTATATACAAGTTCAAATGATATTATATCAATTGTTATAAGATATAATTTCTTTCTCTTGATATCAATTGTTTAAATGCAAAAGACTGGCATTCTGGCCATGCACAGCTCTACATGACTCAATGCCATACAACTCCAAACCATTGGGATGCCTTTGAAGGAAGACATCACTCGAGCTCTTCAGTCAACTTTGCTCCTGGTTTCAGCAAGACACAGGTGGCCTTGCATCCACAAACAATGAGCTCCTCCTGTACAAGTGCCTCTTTATGGGGCAAAACCGT